TTGAGGTTTTTTTGCCAAAATTTAAGCGCTTTCTTTTCCTCTTCATTCACTCCGTCAACTTAAAAGTAACGAATAAATAGTCTATAAGTGAAGTAGCTCCTCTCAGCTTGTAAAACCGTTCTGAAGAACATTTGTTTTCCCTCCTCGTGAACTGGGATCAAGGATATGCGTTAATTATGTTCATGCAGTTTCAGTCGCTGTAGCCGCTTGGCAGACGTCTTCATGATTCTGTCCCGATCTCATTTTGACCCACTTAGGGACCTTTCAATCCTTATACTATGCTCAACGGCACGTAAATCATCCTCCCCCATTTTTACAAAGGAAGATAGAAAGCCTGTGTTGGAAATACAGACAGGCAGATGATAGTAAGGTAAAGTCTGTTTACGAGCCAAGTGGCCCATTAGGCCGGTGCTTAACTCCGGTTTCTGTAGCATTAAGCGACTAGGAGTATTTCTACTCCCCCCTGGATGGGATGCCAGTCCATCGCGGGTTTACCCCCAGCATTAAATGGCCGGTACCCATTTAAACACTTGGGTGGAGAGAGGCAGGCAGACATATAGTACAGCTAGCTTATAGGATTTTGAGTATTGACCCAATACTGGCCATGGGTCATCGAAAATATTTCCAACTCCTCGTACTATTTGCCGATCTTTCATAATCTTGAAATCTTCAGCATTACTACCGAAAAACTTATCGGCAGACCTCTTTGTGTTACTTTGCAACACGTTGATTTTACTTAAAGCTATTGGCTCGAAGAAAGGATTCGTAAACGGAGAAGCGCTACGCCTTCTAAATAAATTCGTCACGCTCCAAGTTCCACATAAAAACTTTGAGACAGTGCAGCTTTGCCGAAAAATGATCACGAAGCGTAAAAAATTCGCATTAATTGAAGAAGTATTTAAATCACTAAAGATGGCCGAATGCAGATATCACCTTAAAAAATGAATTTTTTTGGCTAATTTCGACGATCAAGTAAATTGATATTGTTCAGAGGAAACGGAAAGATTTAATGTAAATAAAAAGATTATTTTCTCTTGAGGAAGTCTGTTCCTTTGAACGGTGGTCACGTTCGCAATTGAGTCATTTTCACAACTCAGTTCCTGGGTCACTGAATTCTTCCCCTTGTTCTTTATCTTACTACACAGTCTATCATGACGCTCCAGCTACTGTAAAAGCAAGTTCCTGTTGTTCAACTGACTTGTAAGATGTCCTGAAGTCCGTGTTCATTGCGTGCTCCGGTTGAAGCAAGTACAACGTGTATCAGACCTGCACAAAAATCTTCCGCCAAAACCGAACAAACCGAAAATCCCAATGCACCCCTCTTCAGTCGTAATGTCTGAGAGCGTGACTGAAATGTTCGTCACACTGCAGCTTCTGGAGGGTGGTATACATTTCTCATGATCTCAAAAGTGACTCGCATAAACATAAGGCAATGCGCAGTGAGCATAAATTAGTCAAGCTGGGAGAAATAAAAACGGATTTCGATCAAAAAAGCGGCCGTTCCCTGGTAAATCTCCACAAGGAAGCGACAGTTATAATCAGTTAGTTTTAAATGAATGAATTCCTTATATATATTGCGCCCTTTCTATACAATATTCGACTGAAGGCGCAGTACCCCCCATAAATTTGATAGACACTACACAAAGATAGACCACAACACCGGGCACTACGTGCAGTGTGTGGGTTCTAGAACGTCCCACAAATTTTTTTATCACATACAAGGGCTTGTGAGACGGGACCTCCATTTATCGCCCCTATCCGAGAACACTAGAAAGTCTAACCATTTGCCGATATTATTACAAAGGCAGCACTTTCTTCTCAGTTATTTAAAGACCCTGAGTGTTGGTCGGGCCGTATTTGAACTCACGACCTCCCGCACAACAGTTCGGCGCTCTACCAATTGAGCTAACCGGGAGGTTAAGATGAAAATGTTCAGCCTCTACCAATTGAGCTAACCGGGAGGTTAAGATGAAAATGTTCAGCCGCACTGAAAAATTTCAAACACATTGTTCTGCTGAATGGTCTGCTTCCTGAAGCGAAACGTTACGACTTATCAGTTAACCAGGCCGCCTTCAATAATATCTGTCACTGTTTAAGTCCACTCCAGCTTCCTGAAGCAGTAACAACGAAACAATTTCATAACCTGCTGATCATTTTCGAGTCGGCGTAGCTGAGACACTCAGCATATAACTAGCTCTATAGTCTCCATCTCGCTGAGTTCTACCGTATTTTCACCTAATCATCTAAAAGGTTCAAATCAACACAGTATACCCACTGAGGAGATGGTATGTGTTTTAGTTCACTTTGTAAAGCTCGATATTTAACATGTGTCTCACATTAGGCTGTCAGATTTATTTCTTTTTATGAAATTTATCAAATCGCTTCTGTTCGCCACAAGCACCCTGTTTCTATAAGCTCTATGAGGAAAGAAATAGCCTGTAGCCCTCAATCAACGGAATGATGATAAAGTTAATCCGCATGTTCTTGGAATCTTCTTCAAGGCATCTCACTTAATAGCACCTGTCTGTTATTTATCACTGATGTTGCCTTTGTCTTTCAGAATGTCTTTTTGGTCGGCATTCTTTTTATCACCTTGAATGGAGTTCGAGTTTACTGCATTGTGAGTTTTGATGAATTATCTCACTTTTCTCTTGACCAATTTGTATATCTGAGCTATTTGAACCGACTTTATTCACTGAATTTAAGAAGGTTACTTATCACTATTATCATCATTTGCGATTTCAATGTGACAGACTGAGAGCTATTCCTTTCTTGTTTCCGAAAATGGAGCGACTTTTACCGAAGATGTAGAAGTGGATGTCGACAATCAAACCGAAGTGATCCGTGTTCCTCAACACAGCGACGCGGACGCAATGGAAATGATGAATGACTTTGGCGAGGTACAGTTAACACATT